TTATATAATGATATTCAAGATATTTAAGATATTTTTTTCTATTTATAATTTGTATCTTTATTTATAATTTATAATTTAAATGAAATGAAAGGAAATTACTTCAATTTAAAAAAAGAATAGACAATTTACACATTTGATGTTTCGATTTTTTTTAAATTTAGCTTCTAAAAAATCTTAAATCCTGCATGTATTTATAATCAATGAACATGATGATTTATTACAGGTGCAGTTGAGAAATAATTACCGAAAATGAGTTGCATGTCGCAGTGCGCCAAGTACTTTCTCTGCTTCTTCAACTTTATTTTCTTTGTAAGTATACAAGTTTTCACTAATTTAGGAATCGAAACATATCATAATTCAGCAGTATTGCAATTAGCAATAATTCGGCGTTTATTTCTTCGCAAATCTTTACTTTGAAGTTATTGAGAAACATTTCTCATTTTGTATACGTTTAATTCAGCCAATTATATATGTAGTATCAAAGAGTTAAGAAGGATTAATCACCATCGAAGAAATATGTAAACTTTCTCGGTGAGGTGTACAGTTGAATTACACGAAAGCTTCTCTCATAAAATAATCTCTCGATTCATACCGTTAGAATTTCTGATTTTTCAAATGTATTACTATATTACAGAAATGAACGCTAGAATAAGATCGTTTTACTATTGTGCTCGATAATACATATTAGCAAAATGTGTCGAAAGCTCCTTTAGTTCTTTCATCAGCGAGTGCAGATATAATGTAATGTTCAATTCGCATGATGTTTATTTCTTAAAGCGTCTTATGACAGTCGATATCAAGATATTTATTTAGTATATAATCCTTGAATCAGAAAGAGAACTATTCGGTACATTTCATGAATTTAATCTATCGAACACGAGTGACGGATACGTAAGAGAGAATTGACCTATTTTAGTTTATACTTATAGAAAATTCACGTTACTTCTCGGATGTTACAATTCAAAGTGTGTACGATGATTTTGCTCAAGTATATAAAAATTTAGACAGACACAAAGCTGAAAATAATTGTGTTAAGCCATTAAATTATGTATATAAAAATTCAAACATGATAAGCAATGTTGTAAAAAGCTTTGATATTTTAGCAACCAGCTTGAACGTTCTATTACGTTCTATTATCAAGAATTTCTTCCAAAGGGAAAGGAGGTTATCAGTTCTATTATCACGTAAATAGTAATTTTTTGCGTTAATGAATTATTTTTTTATTTTAAAGCTTAGGAATGTCTCTCTTGTTCCTGATTTTGAATAGAAAAAAATATTAATATTAGGTTTTGTCACACATTTTTAATCATAAATTTCGGAAAAGAGAAAGAGTTGAATCTCCCAATTCCTCCTTGGATACGCCTTATGTCGTACATAATTATTTTAATAATCCAACAAAATTATTTTCAGATCTGTATCTAACTACTAAATAATTTTTTCAATATTTCAACAAAATCGTTCTTTCCGTGTAGGGACCAAGAGCAATTTTAAATTAAAAGGCTGATTGAACATAAAACTTGCGAGAAAGACGACATATAAAGTGAAATTTTTTGTGCAAAAATCGCAGACAGGAATCGCCTGCCTGTCTCGAAGCATGAGTGTTAAGGCCTCTCTGTCTTCTTTGATAGCCTTGAGATTCTGCCACGAAGCAGAACGGAAACCTACACATTAAAACCTCATGTTTTACAGATCGCCGGAGGAGCAGCATTGACTGTCGGTATCTGGCTTTTCGCTGACAGAACTTCCTTCACCAATCTCATCGCGAAACTCGATCAATCCGATTTGCTGGTAAGATGAAAACAGATTATTTATTGCAAACGTAGATCCGCATTATAGCGTTGCTGGATAAAGGATGGGAAGGGAAGGGAATCCAGGTTACACGCATTTGTCCCCAGACATTTCTTCTACCTTGTTTTTCGAGGAAGTCATTAATTGACATTGCGCGCGGCCACTTGCTCGCGTGATCGTAGCGTACAAGTGGCGAATTGGCTGGGTACCAAATATCCAAAGAAACACTTGTACACTTTGTACGAACGCTGCAAAGAACGGCGTATCCATGTCGCGCACGACGACGTGCAGCGAAGTTTGATAAATTTAACTTTCAAATCGGTCTTAATTCCTACCTTCGCGAGTTCGAACAAAAGCAGGATAAGTACTTTCGATAATTTAAACGAGCCGGACAATTCTCGGCGAAAATACCGGTTTGCAAACGAGTTCCGCTATATTAAAATCCTGCTGCCAGAGTCCACGAGCGTTTCCCGCTGCTTTGTTAAATGCGCGACGATTCTCGTTACCGAATTCTGATAAATTTTAAAAAAACTGGAGGTATTTATTATTTAATTCAACATCTATCTCTTGAACGTCGCGTCGTATTGACAGTTTTATGATGAAATATTATTTTCGCGAAAGCGATTGACTTTTATTGAGTCCCTCAGGGTCTCAGCTTGTTCCCCATATTGAATCTCATTTAAGGTACCACATCAACATTTTCAAAACTAGAACTTACAAGCCAATAATCCCAAACATTTCGCTTGTAAGCCCAAATGCATATGCGCGTAGATTAAAATAGGTCAGAACAGTCAATAATTTTAATTTAATCATTTCCTAACTAATTAAGTAATTATTTATTAGCACTTACAGTAGACCAAAAAACAATTTGATCTGGAAAATAAATAAATACAAAATGTTTTTATTTAATCCTTATCCTACTAAGGAGAGTCACTAGTTACCGAGCGATTCCTGTTCGTGCAAGTTTCTTTGCGTCTTTCGGTAATTATAAATTATACTCCATTTTATTATTTTCCAAAATAAAGTGCCAATATTTATTCTAAAAAGTTGAAAGTATTTTGAATTTTTATTATTTTATTTTTTTGAATCATTCTGAAGAGTGAAAAAAACGGACAGATTCTAATGTCCCCGTTACTATGGATGAGACACCAAATTGTATCTAGGATAAGGATAACTTAAAAAGTTTTATTATAGATTTTATTATAGATTTAGAATTGTTCCTACGTGTGTTTTTAGTGATATTTTAAAAATATCAATAAAATAATTAAATACATAAATATAAAAAGGTATTAAAAAATTCATATGGATGAAAAATAATTTACATTACATTTTTGCTTTGCAATTGCATATCATAGATCAGTAAAAAAAATTGCGTATTAATTGGAATCTCATGATTATTGTAGATTTAGAATAATAATATTACTGCGCAGGGCACATAATTATACTGATAATTGGACATCCTAAAAAAAGAGGACGGAATCCAGAAAGAAGGGCAAATGGCAAATGACTCAAGTCCCATTTGAAATAATTTTTTATAACATTTCAATTGAAATGTTTTTAAATTTATGTGATATTGTTTTCTATGTCAAAGCATAATTAATTGCATTTTTAACCAATTCTATCTGCATGGGCTACAATTTTATTACTGTTTCTCGAAATTTATTGTCGAAAGAATTTCATAGCAGACGTCCTATCTTTCCTCCTCGTCAGAAATACATTAGAAGAAAAATGATTTGCACGTATCCTTACAGAGTCGGCTATTCATACTGCAAGTTTCTCTTGCGTAAGCGTGCTAATTACGTCGTAAGTTGTTTGTTACGCAATTAGCAGTAGGTGTAACGAGGAAGTTCGACTTGAACAAATTGGATTTGTTATCGATTCTCTTGCTTGATTATCATATTTCTCATATCAATAGAAAAGCTCTTGTTTTTATACGTTTGTAAAAGGTATAAAAAATGCATTCTTCTTACGTATACGACGCAGAAGTATGACTCCTTATGCCTCGTTCTATCGATGGATCTTTTTATTGTTGAATTGAAAAATTATCTAATGCGGTTTGCGTTAGTCTCGCATTGTACGTGCACGTGTGAAATGCAGATTTGTAACGAGAAACGCGTGACGCGTGTTATACCATTGTTTCTAACACATGAATACGTCGGTGTCACTATCGCATGTACGTGATTTTTCTATTACGTTACCGTCGTCAAATCGATAATGTAAACGCACATATTCTTCCTTCGGATTTCCATTTTAACACTAACATTTCGCCAAACACTCTTAAAAATTAAATGAAACATTCTTTGTAATTTTTTTTATTTTAGTAATATAATTTGATCTTTTTGACTATAAAAATATTTGTTACAGATTAATGCTTAGAAACATTTATAATTTTTTCTCATTCAAAATTCTCTTTTAACTTTTATTACAGTCTTACGTATTTGGGCGTTCTATTATTTAATTTTTCAAGCGTATTTAATAATATTTTTCTTTATGAACTTTTTCTATTATTCACGGAGATTTTTTTGATGAAAAAAATAAGTTTGGTGAAAAGTAAATTTTCTTAGTAACATACCGTGAAAGATGTTTTTATTATTTTATAATTTAAAACGATAAAATTATCGCTAAAATAAAAGAATTATTTAAGGCTGTCTGAGTATTTATAAACAGTAATGTATAAATTCATTGAAATTTACCGAATAAACGTTTGATTCTCCAAAAGCTTCGACAAAGCTTTGAAATCTAATAAGTGGAATGCAGGAACTAGATCAGCTTAAAGATAAACGTCTATTTTTTTTGGAAAGATGCCAAAACGTACGATAGAAGATTTAATAGAGATAGCTTGCAAAGGATATGACATGTTTTAGATGATTTTGTTTGATTTAATTACTAATTTATATTTTTTAATTTTATATATAGATTTTATAATTTTAATTAAATAATTTAATAAGTGTAAATGATTTACTTAAATTCTACACATATACTTGTTAGAGTTTTTAAAATGTTTTATCACTTTGGGGAACTAATTGTAAGTTTTTTTTAAGTAAGTGACACTTTATTTGTACAGGTTGTTTTAAAAAAATTCACGAGAAATTACTTTTAGCACGTAGTGCACATACATTATAGACTTTCTTTAACTACGAACCGCTTAATGGTACCGGATAATCTACGGTTTAACAAGGTGCTTGACTCTATAAACTACACGAGAGAGAAGGGACACAAAAAGAGTGATTTACCTTAAAGGCCGCAGTTAATGAGAACAATGAGAGAATGGAAGTTGCTGCTTCCTTCAAATAATTGCTACTGCAAAGCTATTTCCTTCCTTCATGCCTTTGGTTGCCTTTTATCGACAACATCACGACACGTGTTTTTACACACACACACACACACACACACACACACACACACACACACACACACGACATACATATGAAGGATGATTCTGCTCAAGTATTTCAAAATTTAGTTAGATACAGATCTGAAAATTGTTTTGTTAGATTATCAAAATAATTATGTAAGACACTCAAACTGATTATTGGCCTGTTGAGATTTTTTGCAACATTGCTCATTACGCTTGAAATTCCTACGTAATTATTTTGATGGTCCAATAAAATTAATTTCAGATCTGTATTTAGCATTTACAGACATTTGTTTCAGCAAATCGTTCTTTTCGTACGCATTGATACATATATTAATGTATACAGTAGTACGAAAAATTTTCGGCATTTTTAAGTAATTTTCTTAAGTTGCTTAGATAAAAAAATCTTTACATATAAATATCTAGTATAATACTTGATTGAAACTTAATTGACGTCTAATTTAAACTGAAAAACAATTTGATAACAGTTATTGTAAAATTATATATTGGTCGGAAATTTTTGGCAATCATTGTATACATATAAGTCAATCATATATTAATATATTAATATGTATATAAGTTATTTTATGTAGATATACAGATGCAAATGTAGATATTTTTTCCTTGAAGAAAAAGCGAGAATCGACGGACCGATGTGTAATACGCGACGTGGGTACAGTAACGTTACAGGCAGGAGAACGAGAAACGTAATTATCGGCACTTGGTCGCTGATGAGATGATTGGTTGTCACATTAGCGCAAAGCGTGGGAGGATCGGGGTGCTCATGGATTCGTGGTTCGCTCGTATATTATAGGTACATGCAAGGGGCCGAAGCCCTCCTCGAACGATTTTACGCGGCGAAATCGCTGAACATTCGGCGCCTTGAACATTGCGAAATCTCGCCTGAAATTTTTTTATATTTACATCGCCCGTTTGTGTGCTCCCCGGTGGCGGAGCTAGACAGCGGAACGCTGCGGAAAAGTAAAAGTGCCGCTTTCGTTTGACGAGTTTCGCGCAGCGAAAGGGTAACGCACGTTTTCCTGCGATCAAGCGACATTATAATTAGAACAGTCATTTACCTAAAAAAAATTTAAGGTGTCGTAAGATTAGATATCCGTTATAAAATGAAATATCTCAAAAATGAACATGAAGATGATTACTAAAATTAATCCTTAATATACAAAGTATAATGTATTACGATGATTCAGTTACTAATGTCGCGTCATATATTGAACAAACTTGTTTCTAG